TTCAGAGTCATCTGAGAGTCGTGATTAAGGCATACTTAAGTGTATTTTCTCGGCTGCTACAAGATGCAGTAAAAAAAGAAAAATACACGACGACACTGTTGGAAAAAGCTGAAAGGAAAATGAGCGAGCAACAATTTCTTTCCTGCATGATATTCTCCCTTTGGAAATTATTGTAATTCGTGCTACAATCATTTTTCACGACATTGAAAACAAAGGAGATATTTAAGTGATCTCCTTCAGCTGGGACACCCTGTATATACATATAGATATATCTGCTCTGTTCTTCCCACTGTGTTAGGAATGATTATTGATTTGTTCGATTTTCTGCTTGTTTCCTTTTTTCACTTTTAGCTGTATGATGGAGATGGAACAAATATACCGGAGGAAGATTATGAAATTTTTTAGAATGAGAAGTAGGAAAGTGCCAAACTGTTTTAGCTTCGAATTGAGAGAAATTAGGTGGAACGAATCTTAAGTAACGAAGTTAAAAGGTAACAATAAGGAAGGTTATTTTTAATTTCAATATTTTCGGATAGTGAAAAGGGATGAGATGAAACGGGGCAAAGAAGGTACGAGGAATACGATCCAAGCGTATATTTCTGGAAGCAGTTCGAGAAAGACGTGAATAGAAATATTAGAATCGTGTTTCATTTTCCTTACAAACAGCGAAATGATTGATTAATACTTTACGCTTGACAATCTAATTTGCTTCGCAAATATTCGGTAACACTAACATTATAACGATTGTTTCTCTGTATTGTACCAAATTCATCTTAACTTTTGCCTCGAAAACGAAACTGAAGTACAACTATCCAAGGAACTATGTAAATTTAACTTTCCAACTGTCTAATCATCAGGCTGCTTAATTATTGTTCTAACTACTTTTTCAAATAGGACTAATATTTTTCAAATGTCTAGTAAGTAACATTCTTTCAGCAAGTAGGTAACGTTACAAACGGAATGAAAGAATTGCAAATTAAATACCTGTATCTCGCATATCTACGTACGTATGCGTGTGTGGGAGTATTTGTTTATTGCATAACTCGATGACATGTTTGTTTGACGTTTCATTAGTCAATATGTGCACGTTTACGTAAAATGTACACCGAATATAAAACTATTTGATCGGCAAATAAATTCCGTACAAAACATATACCCTCGTCTAGGTGAATATTTGCATACGTGCTTTTACTTGTGCGTACCATCGGCACGAAATGTAAATTTGACTTTCTGTGGACGCAAAAAGACAGGAATTACAAATTGCCCCGGACGTGACTTAGGTGCCTATAGATAGTATTTATGCAAATGTCAATCGCCGAATGATTTCGTCCCCTATCGACCGCAATGGATCGTTAAAATTAACCGGAACTCTTTAAATGATCAGAAAGGGAATAAAACGATTTCCAATTTAAATGTCCGTAATGAATTTTCCATAGAAATTGCGAATATAAATATACATGGTGGGGCAAAAATTTCGTGGCTCTTGGAATATGTATTTTCGTTGTTTGTAATAATGTGGAAAAATGTTGAATACAAAATTTGCGTGACACGAAGACTTTCCAATTTTAACGATACAGTGCCAAAATCGCCGTAACAGCGATTATCACACAGTGATAAAAGTAAGAATATAGCATTCCATTTAAAAAAAATTAAGATGATCTCAAAATCTTCTCGGATATTATGTATAAAATTTTTCCATATTATTGTAAATAACTGAAAATTTCCGGATAGACAAAGTTTCTGTCCCATCCTGTACATTTACATTAACAGGTGCCAGAAAGCTAGAAAAGTAGCGCTTGTATTTAAAATAGAAGCTGTTGTTTGATTAAATTCAAGATAAAGCTGCGATCAAATTAAGTTAATCAGATTCCCCTTTTTAACTAAATCGTCCGGCTAACACGTTTAACTGCACACGTAGAGCTAAACAAGAAGCAAATTTAAATGCAACAATCATTGTCTTCACTCCACAGCGAAACTTTTCGAATAAAAATATCATCTGAATTATCAAACAGATTCAGATAAATTCTCCCAAATGTATCGTATCGTCTGTGTTTGTTCTACCAAGAAAAGCATCAAATGGAAACAAAAATACCGCGTCACGACGGAAAGAAGATTCTGCGTTAAAACGCGAGGGAAAATTCCTTCTTTTATTTTTTTGTCTGTCGTCGATTCACGCACGACGAAATTGCAATTCTGTCGGACGACAAGAAAATCGCAAAGTCAATTTAATATCACTCTGAAGCGACACTTAAACATCCTACGAATCGTAAACACTATAGGATGTTGTTTTATTATATTTCCCGTGGGTTTTCCGCCGGTCTCTCCACGCAGGCCGGCGAAGTTTGTCCGACTGTATAGTATTTTTCAGTTTGTACAGCGTCATGATCGCGGCGAGCAATTCCGCAAAGAACAAATATAAAAAAGTTATACCGACGTTTCACCGGCGCGTGAATTATAAAAGATGACGAGGTGCGCGTGGAACAAAGCGGTTGAAATGATGCGAATGGGAGGAAAATTGATTTTCATCCCGATGTTTAAAGGGACAAAACGCCGCGACAAAGCTGTTGCCGCCGTTATTTTTTCAATATTTATCACTTCGTGTTGTTCGTAGTTCTGTGGCACTATTATTGGAAGCAAACTTTCAGCAGTTTTTAAAGTGACAAGTATAAATGTTTGTCGATTAAAACTGTCGTTGTTGAAGGCAATTAAATAAAAATTTCAATTACAGTGTAATATGTCTGATATTTTGCTGGTATAATTAACTTCAATCGGAGTAGCCTAAAATTTACAACCATAGTTAGTGTATTTTAGACAGAAAATCAACGATAAATAACTGCCATAGAGCGGTCTAGCGTCGATCAATTTGCGTCGTTACTAATAATTATTGGAAAGTACTTAGGGCAAAGATGTGCTAACCATTTCGGCTGATTTAACCGAAAGTTCATTAATCATCGTCACTCTGCGCGATATCGTTCATTTTTCTAGAGGGCAAAAAGTTTGACTCGAAAAATTGATCCTCCAATTTTAAACGCTCTAATTAATCTACAAAGATAGTACTTGACAAAAACTGTCGCTACTAATATTAATAATTAATTTTTCTTCGTCAAAATACAGCGTGCCTTTTTCTTTTCAGAAAAATAATCACGAGAAGGAAGGAAACGAGACTGAAATGAACTTCATCTTCGAAAGAAAAAGAGAAGTTCAGGAGAAGTTAGGAAATGTTTAAACTGTGTTCAAGAAATTCTCGTGCTTGTATTTATAGCGTTGTAACGTCATTCGTTTGAAGATTTCATCGCATAAAAGTATTATTTCGCCGTAAACAAGGGAAATCTTTGAATGGAATTATTGATTAATTTATACGTGTTAGGATGTGCTAGTTGCAACAAACTTTCGAGCTTTGTCGATTTTAGCACGTGGTGTGCCGACTAAGTCTAATAGGTTCGTCTTCGAAGGACCACCTCCGTGATTAGGAGGACAAAACAACTATTACCAATGATCTAAACTTCTTAAAGGAGCGACTCGTGGCGTGGTCAGATGACTTCTGTCGTTCCCTTCCGCAAAAGGTCCCACGACACCTCCGTGCGAGGACGCATCGCGGGGGTGAGGCCATCGGATAGGTTGAGTACATTTTTCGATAGTGATGGGGAAGGGTGGTTGGCGAAAACTGTTGGTTAAAATCATAAGTGGGAAAAACTACACGAAAATGCCACCCCCCCAGACCATAGGTCACTCTCAGGTACCAAGCGTACCCTTGAGTGACGCACGCGGGAATTCCTCGAACAATGACCGTAGCAGACAATAACGTTAAGACGCGCTTCGGCTCTGGTGACCATATGAATGCAAAAATGTACAGGTTAAAAAGGGGCGAAGATTCTAAATCGAAAACGAGGCAATAAAAGGTGAAAGCAATTTCTTAGATTGAAAGACTACGAAGACTACGAAACGAACGAAGGCGAAAAAATACCAAGCGTACCCTTGAGTGACGCACGCGGGAATTCCTCGAACAATGACCGTAGCAGACAATAACGTTAAGACGCGCTTCGGCTCTGGTGACCATATGAATGCAAAAATGTACAGGTTAAAAAGGCGAAGATTCTAAGTCGAAAACGAGGCAATGAAGGTGAAAGCAATTTCTTAGATTGAAAGACTACGAAGACTACGAAACGAACGAAGGCGAAAAAATATACATATACAATAGAACTACATGCTAAGAAATCCAAGGGTCGGGCGGCCGGCATACCTGTCGAGGATTAAACAATACGTTATTTTAATAAGCAGAATAATTCTTTAAATAATAAAGTAGAAAGTATCACAGAACTTCATGAAATATTAATATATTGGAAAGAAAAGTACAAGGGGAAATGCATTACGCTTGGTCAGGCACGTTCGTTAAATCAACGAGAAACATTATTTCATACCTCGGAGACCAGGATTATTTGAAAAAATTGCCTCCATCACGCTTGATATCTTTATATCGCTTCACACTTTTTTCAACATTCCCTAAATTCTCCCAATTCTGCCACGATTTCACGAGCAAAGATGCTTTTCGTAAAAGAATACGAAATGTTGATCGACGAGTAAAAGAAAATTTGGAGGCTGAACAAACGTTCGGTATCTGTTCAAACGACACACCGTACTAAAAACTCTCTTTTTACCATTTTACCAATATTTAATATCGCTTCGGAATGTTTCTTTTTACATCACTAACACATGCTTCTAAATGTTTCCTAATGTTACGGCATATTAACCACGATCTCGACGGAGTGAATCGCTGAGAATGGAGTGATTTCTCTCTACTTGTCGCTCACAAGTAAATCGAACCGGCACAAACGTGCAATCAATCACACCCACATAAGCGATGAAACTTTCAGGCTGTTCGTTTTTCTCTCTTAGTCTTCCCTTCTTCCTTTTCTTTTTTTTTTCTTGCTTTCTTTACCATATAACGACATATAAATCACATTTAACGTTCTTATTCACCATTCCTTGCCATCCGTTTTCAGATCGGGCGAAACGATGACGAAGACAGAAGCGAGGAAAGCAATCCACCGCCATTAATCACACCTCCTCCTCCCAATCCGGACTGTGAGTAATTGCGAGAAATTCACCAGTTTATTTAATCATAAGTTCGCCCATAAGAAATATCCTGACTGCCGGCGACAACGTTTCGAGCGCCATTCAAATTCGTTTCTTTAGGAGCCGAAACTTCGTCACGAGCATCCTTTGTCGAACATGGTTCAAAGGAATTCTTCGAACATTTTAAAATAAACCTGCCTCGAGATTCTGTTAATGAATGAAATTTTCTTCGAATCAATATTTCGTATTATTTAAATCGTTCGTTTGGATTTTTCATCTTACACAGATTCACTTTGGATATTTTGGAAAAATGTTCTTTCGTTAAGTTTCTAGAAGGATAAAGGATGCTTTGTTGTCAATTTCTGTTTCAATTTGAGTCGTCAAATAGGAATAATTGTCATTTGTAATTTCTGATAATACATATCTCTTAAATTTCTTAGACAAAGGGCCAAAAGGTGATAAAGGTGACAAGGGAGAGAAAGGGGAGAGCGTTAGAGGACCTCCAGGACCGCCCGGTCCACCTGGTCAAGACGAGGTAAATAATTCTATCAGTATTAATACGTTAAAAGAAAGAATTGAACATAAATCATATTATTTACATAGGTTTGCACTACTGATAACCAAATTTCTAACGCAGAAGTAGGGATGATCTCGTTATCAGCGAGTAGATTATGATAATATCAAACCGCAACCTCCGAATTAATTAATATTTGCACACTTTCGAGAAAAATGTCACCAGAGAAAGAATTCCTTCTCGAAACTGTTGGAATTCAAAATTTGATCGTTAAAATATCAATCTCCTTAGCCAAACAGTTTGGAACGTCTTTCAATTATTTCAAAACCAATTGAACGTTCTAAAAACGGCTTCACATGAGCCACAGGTCCTCTTACATACTAATAAGTGTTTCCCATTCGCTCTGAAATACGGAATTAAATTTAAGGTAGGATTTAAAGTTGACTCGTAACCCGGCGTTCCTCGTCGTACGAATGTTGTGTACCACGTAGAATGCATAAATGTCCGCATAAATTATGCAAATTACGCATACCGAACTATATTATATACATATACCGTATCGCGCGTATTATATCGAGTATACGTATTGCCCTTCCGAAGATGTTCCATTAGCAATCCTTACACAAACCACTGAATTTCCGGCTGTAATAGTTCAGTAGTCCATACACGTATAAAGGGAGACCGAATGCGTTGTGCATATTGCAGGACCATGCGTTTGCATCAGGTTTCACTTACGACCACGTGCCGCTGTATTGTTTAGTATGAAAGAATATCGAATGACCTAGATAATGCTGGGCCATTTCACGTGATACAATGGCGGACGCCGAAAGAAGAAGTTAAATGGAATTATTATCGTTGAAGCGATTTCACTTGAAAGGGAGAGGCAGACAAATTAAAAAAAAAAGGGAAAAAGAAATTATTTGCATGTAACGTACTTTCACAGATGCACGTTCTATCGGTTACTCTCTGTGTTCGCAATGTTTCCTTCAAATAAATGAATAAAAAGTGCATTCGTCTTTTATCATGAAGTAACGACGAAGGTTTGCCGTAGATTATAATTGCTACGATCCCGCTGAACCTTTGTAACCGGCGAATTTATTTTCATAATTTAAAGCTGTTTTCCCTGAGAATTATTTAACGCGGCGTAATCTGTTCGTTACGTGAAAACGCGCTTTTTTTTCTTTTTTTCTAACTATTATCACGTGAAATATGCATTCTGTGAATTAACGTTTCGATGGCCTACATTCTGCTTGATGAAAAAATTACGAAGAGTAGAATTAATACGGATTTGGTTGGAAAGTTTTTCCGTCGGTGATTTTCGTCGGGATTAAAATTTTACTTTCCCTTTCTTTTCTAAATCGCGTGAAATGAAAAGTGCAACTTGAAAATGTTTAACTTTGCACATACTTGAAATTGCTGAATTATTAGAAAGCGTGAAGCTTTTACACCGCGATGCACAGTACGAAAGAAATAACATCGAAGCAATTTTTCCGTCGTTCCGTTAACGAGAGTTGTTCGTTGAATGTTTAAACCGCCGCGGAAATGTATACTTGCCAGTGAGGAAGATTCAGACCCAGAAATCTTTCATTACGTGAGATATGTACCTACGTACATATTTCAGCGATAATAATTCATTAGCTCTTGCGCATATGAAGCGAGCTTGAATGCATTCCAATCCGGAATCACTCATTTATCTTGCTACTCGAGCAAGCCAATTTAGCCAGCCAGCTGAAGTACTGGTAACCACTGCATGTAACATTGATTACAGAGGAACCGCTTTCACGGGATTCACTATCTTCCGAAATTATCGTCATACCGGTATGAACACGACTGTGTTTGTTTAACACCTGATGCGTTCAACCTCCGGCTTGGAAATACTGTTACTCTCCAAGTTCATAGACGGTCTCCTTCGTCGTATGCAAGCGGGGGGAAAAGATTGGAGTAATGTCGCGTTTTATCATTAGAGACTGCATGAATTGGCGGGGAAAAAATGAACGCATACAAACACGAGAAAAATTAAAAAATGTAAATATTGAAGGAAATAAAGAATCTGGTAGAATATTTGGTAATGAATAAGTATAGAATTAAATTGAATTGAATATTTTTTTTTTTTTTTTAGGAAAATAAGAACTCAACTTACTCGAATGGGGTGATATTATATCGTATATCACCTACTAACCGTCGCATCATAGTACGCCAGTTTATAATGCGTTGTTACCTATTAGGAACTGCAAAGTTAATTTCGGTATCGCTGTCGTTAACCGTGGTACAGTCGTGCATACAACACGGCCAGGTGTAAATGAACAATTACAAAGTCTCGTGGTAGAAGTTTTGTTATCCGGTAATTCGATTAGCTGTTAGTAACTCACGAACGCACGTAACAAGGTTTACCCTGCCGTGAACTAGCGAGTGTATATATTTGCAATGACAGACTGATCAAAATGCTGCAGGGTCCGCCAGGGAAGAAAGGAGAAACCGGCACGTGCACCTGCAATGCAACAGCCCTGATGGCGTCCTTTACGATGCCAAAGATGATCCAGGGACCGAAAGGAGAACAAGGAGTGCCGGGACAAGAGGGAAAACAAGGCCAGAGAGGGCTGACGGTATTGACGCTTTGTAAAAACCAAAAGAAAGAACGCTTGGCAATGAAAAAAAAAAAAAGAAACACCGAGATAATTCAATTAATGTTACCCGAATCGTCGACTAACTTTTTATGACAAATAAAGAATATTTCCATAAACGAACCAAATGATCCTTCCAAAACCTACGAACCCTGTTTTAACGTGAACTCTCTCTCTCTCTATATATTACATTCCTGGTTTCTACAAGTGCAACGCATACGTTCGAGCGAA